CAACCAACCAACAGTCTGTAACAACAACCAACCAACAGTCTGTAGCAACAACCAACCAACAGTCTGTAACAACAACCAACCAACAGTCTGTAGCAGCAAACAACCAACAGTCTGTAACAACAACCAACCAACAGTCTGTAACAACAGCAGCAACCAATAGCCTGTAACAACAGCAACAACAACAAGAGCAAAAACAACGCAGCAACAACCACCGCAACAGTTATTGTTTTCACTCACAGATTGAATTGATATATGGCATTTTACTCCGTCTTTATCTAGACTTTAGTTCAATACAAACTTCTCATAATGGCTGACAAGTGCACGAAAACGAGGTCACCCAGTCATTATTTCACGATAAAATTACATGAAATGACTTTAAAGAAGAAAAGTATTAAAAAATATAACCTTTGTTTTGATCTGAATTAGCGCTAACAGCCTTTATTTTGAATGAGCAGCTTGGCTCAACCTTGCAAGATAACTGGGTGACCTCGTTTCCTTGCGTTCATCACCCATTATGAGAAGGGTGTATAGACCCCTTGCAGTACGTCGGAATACAGTTCAATTTGGAGGATACAGCATTAGGTTCCCAATTCTCAAGCGATTGAAATCTTTTTGTTTTGTCCTCCAAATTGAGCTTCTTGACGTCACATGCCAAGGGGTCTATAGCATTGTCCAAGTGAAATAGGAGTGGCTTCTGAAAGGTTTTTGTTCACTTCAAATATTTGGTTTATTAAGTGCGTCTAACGGGAAATTACGACTTTTTTTACTGCACGACAAGTCCTGCTAAAACACGATAAGACCTCCTGAAACACAAACTGACTGAATCTTTTAAATTCAACATTCTGAAGAATCAGTCATTCTTATCAACCTGTATGATCTCAAGGTGAGACTATAGACTACGGAAAAACCACGCTTGTTTATCAAATATTTCTTAAATAGCAAAAGGACCTTGATAACAAATGATGTAAAATCATAATTTTTGATATCATCCATAGCAGTTGATGACATTCCTACTTGTGAAGTTAGGAAAAAATAACCATCTTCTAATCTTCTAATATTTGAAATGTTTACACTGAGCTACAGACAGGTTGCTACTGAGTCCATTTGGAGTGAGTTATCTCAGTAAAGCGGCCAGTATTTTGAAAAAGGATAGACTTTCGTCATTCCTTATCTTCTGTTTTGAAGACTGTAAGACATTTTCATCATTTAACTCTTACCTTCACTTTTCAATTTCTATTTCATGGTTGACACTGAACACGTTTGATTGTACAGTTTTTTCCATTTCTTACGACAGTCAGAACCCAAAGTGAGGCCAAGTTCTAGTTGAATTATCGAAAATTAAATCCGAAAAAAACGAGGGAGAACTTTAGGAATGAATAACAGCAATTCGCCGATCTCTTACAGGAACGTATCAAGGAAGAGTGCTATAATCATGTTTTCTGTCAGCATAGTCGTCAGTTTCCTTGTTGTCGCCTCAAACCTCGCTACCATTCTGACATTTCTCGTCAACAGACATCTTCGTCGTCGTAGTGTGTACTGCCTGATACACTTGGCAGTGGTTGACATGATGCATGGTGTGTTGAGAATGGCATTTGAATCATGTGTCTATGACTTTTACTTTGGATCAAAGCTATTTTGCTCTGTTTTTTCACTTAATATTGTACTTGCTATACATGACTTGACTTTTGCTATGTGTCTATTTTCTTTGGTTCTTATTTCTCTAGAACGTACGTATGCAACTTTTTCCCCATTCAAATATCGAACACTACGCTTGAAGAGTTATATTATGTTGTGCACTTCAGCATGGTTGCTTTCAGCATTGATCATCGGTCCTTTCATAAAAACTAAGACTTTACCAAACTATGGCTCTATCTTTATAACTATTTTAATAACAATATCGTTTATCTGTCTCATTGTTATGTGTACCTCGTACAAAGCCATACTTCACAATATCAAACTCCAGTCCAAGCGACTAAATACAAGTCAACATAAAACATCCATAACAAGAAGACCGAATTGTGAACAGCATCTTGCAGTGACCCTAGTAATCGTAACACTGTTATTTGTAATAACATGGCTGCCATGGATTGTCACAGTTACTATCGTATTGTGTTGCACAAAAGAGATATCTTTTATCGAGTATAGAGTGATTCTCATAATACAGCTGACGAACTCACTAATCAACCCAATAGTCTATGTTACTAGAATGAGAGATTTTAGAGAAGCGATGGCAAAACTGATCTTTAGATGTTCACTTGATTTACATCGTCCTCGGGAAGTTGTTCAATATCATAAGAATGGCAGGGGAAATGAGGCTGTCGTACAACTCAGTTTTAGATGAACGAAATCGAAATACGCATAACTTGTCGCCTAGTTTGTCCGAATCTGGACCATCTACTACACTAGAAATGGCTGCAGAATGCTAAAGGCTTGGGGAATCTTTCGTGTTCCAAAAACATCACGAAAAGGAAAGGAGTATTTTCGATTTCCTTATATTGAAGAAATAGAAATCGCGCGCGCGTGCTGTGTGTAGTTACGAAGCACGCGGGGGTCGGCAGGCAGGAGACATAAGTGTTAAGAGAAGCAAGACGCGTAGTGGAATCCTTCTCAAAACTTCTCTAGTGTTCTGCTAAACCCTGATTGCTTTATAACTACACACAGCATAGCAAGCAGGTTTTTTATTAGAGTAAATGTTATTTTGGATACGAATGACAAAACAGGCAGTGCGCGTGCTGTGTGCTCTCATAAACCACGCCGCGCTTCCATCCATTCAGAACGCGAAATTCATAATAGTTATCCTCATAACGTTTGTTAAGATCCTTTACTTGCACACTGTCTTTATTAGTTTTACAGCTTTTAAAGTAAATTACCGTAATTTGTTCTTAATAAATAAATAATAAAGAATAATGCAAACTTGAAAATTTACTGAACACCTTAACAAATCCTCCTTAAAGAAAGGAAGATTGCATGTATTCTCGTAGCTCGCACCCTCCGATAAAGTTCCCTTAACATCAAATCAAGACTCTAATTCTCTTCCTCTCAACAAAGAAGAAAGCAAGATACCACAATCCTAGACTACACACATAAATTGAAAAACATAAATTTACCTTTCCTGAAAAGGAAATATTATAAATTCACTTCTTGCCACGAGTTTTCTCTGGCCTCCCCTCCCCTCGAGCCCTTTCTCTGCCTTTATTTCGTCCTTAGAATTATTGACTGAAATATTAATTCTACACCTCCCACCCCTCCCTCCCAAAATGTTATGCTCGTCTAGATGTTTTAAAGTATCTGATTCGAGGATTTATATCCGGTTTTTCCGGTTTTTGTTCGGCTTCGCAAAACCTAACATGCTAAATTCCGATTTGATCTGTGAGCCGTGCCCTGACTTAGATCAGCCTAGAGGTTGTTTCAGGGTATCGATCTGTAAGTTAGCCATGCCCTGACTTTGATTTGCCCAGAGGCTGATTCAGAGTATTGATAAACAATTTGAAGTTTACACATTTCCAGCTAGGAAATTTGAAGCGGCCTCTCAAACTCTAGCACTAACACCTTAAAAAATAGACCTTATATAATCAAGAAACTTGCAAGAGCGTGACAGCTTTAACTTTCCAGTTTATTAAGGCTTGCGAGCTACAAAATAGTCTTACCCGCGTTGTACAATTATATTGCATTATAGTATGGCAATATATCTTATTGATCAATTTAAAATTTACTCTTAAAAACACTCTGTACTCCTCCAACTTACATTAGGATCTCTTAACTCTTCCTTCCGTCAAGGACGCTATAAATTTTCCAAAGCGTTTTTTGTTCTATTTTAATTGCATATTATTTCATTTTATTTTAATTGTCTAAATTGATTTTAACTAGACAATTTTGTTCGATGTGTCACGAACAAAGAGCGCCTTCATCAATCTCGTCGCCATAGAGATCTCAATGACATGCGCTTTACGGGGCTGTCTGTGTCCAGCGTGCTCTCACACTGTTGTTCTAGTATATTACATAATGTCTTTACAGTAATTATTGCATCGAGTGAAGACTTTTTCACTTCGGATGGGTTTTCTTCAACTTTGAATCGCTTCTCGTTCGTTCCTTCGATGACGTCAGAGTTGAAATTTTCGCACTGTTCTTGCGCTCTCTGGCATAGGTCTTGGAAGTGAGTCCTCGTTCGAACAGTCTGACAATTGAAGAAACAAATTCATTAAAAAATGATTTGATATGAAATAATATAGAACGTTTTCACTCACGTGACAAGGCAGCCATATTGGGGTACCAAACAATAGAAACTTTCTGCACAGTTTTTGCAAAAAAAATAGAGTTCATTTCCTGGATAGAAAATGTATTGTTTGGTATCCCAACATGGCCGCTGTGACGTCACTCGAAAACCTCTATAAAGATTTTTTCGGCAAAAATATATAGTTCTCTTTCCGTATGATACTTTCCGTATGATATTTTAATATCTATATTTATTCTTATATCTTTAGTGTTATATCTTTTTCTTTTGGTATATAATTTTTCAATATTATTTTTTCGTATAGTCATACTTTATTTATTGTAGCGATGGCTTTTGTATCATATTTTTACTATTTTTATTATTTTGATGTTTTGATTAATTTTCTACGTAAGGGATTTTATCGATTTATATATATTGTAATTAATGCATAGTTTTTGAGGGCCACAGGTTTGTTAGTATTGTTATACTATTATATACTATTACGTGCCAAAATCGTAAAATAAAGTATTTATTATTATTATTATTATTATTATTATTATTATTATACTTCATTCGTCATAAAACTTTATCTTAAAGTTCAGACATGCGCACTAAAATTTTCTTGATATACAGGTTTAAGAGCTAGCCCTCAATAAGCCAATATGTGTTAATTAACAGTTACTCGAATCCAGCCAATATACCCTTACTTATACAAACACTAACAATCTAAAAGCCATTATAGCTAGTAAGTCTTATAACTGCTGTAATGTTTCGCTAAGACAGAGTCCAAATAACTGAAATAGGCGTCTTATGTATTTATCATCTGAAGCTTTCGTTTCATAAATTCCGAGTTTTCTACTTTCTTAGAGGCTTCGACGTTACTTTCATTCAAACAAATGAATATAGAAGTCGGTTGGTATGGTATTTTTTATGTATGACTGAGCGATCTGCGTATTGCGACAATCCTCTGCAACTTAATTTCAGCCTTCAGCTACAATAAATTCTCTTTTGAGTGATTAGCCATCAACGTCAATTTTAACCCCTCCCTCTCAACATTTGTTGAATTATTGAAAGTCATTCATTTTCACTGAGATAGATGGATCTTAATTTCTTAACGTCGTGTGGAGCAAGCGTTATAACTGTCTAGAATAATCGGTTTCTTGCTGTGTGTTTGAGTCGTACACCAAAATAAATAGCTTGCATAATAATAATAATAATAATAATAATAATAATAATAATTTAAAAGCTTATATAGTGCATGCTACATGTCGAAGTGAACGCATGCGCTTTATATAAATGAGTTTAAAATGTGAAAAAAAAGCTAGTACAAATTCTATAACAATAGGTAGTTTAAGATTCTCGTTTACGGCAAACGTGAAACGTCAGTTGACCATTAAAAAATTCTTTAAAATTAGTGAAAAGGAATCGCAAAAATCTCCAAGTAATAGGATAAACAAAAGAATACTTGTCTTTGTCGAGAAGGTTTGAAAAAGGTAAAGTGAAATGTAGAGAAACGATGAAAACGTGGTCACGTTTGCCTTTTGCGGGAAGGAAAAACGGGAATCTTAATCTACCTAATATGTCATTAAAACAACGGGTTATTTTTTATTGCATCTCAATCTCTGAAATAAAAATAAACTTCAAATCGTACCTCTTCTGTTCGTTTGCCATTCTTCTTCTTGCCAACTTTCCCAACTCCAACGTGAAACGCACTGGTCATCCAACAGTTGACCAACAGTACTACGAAGACAGAGAACAAGATTTGACGTCCCTCAAGTTTCATCTTCGTATCAGCTTCTACTTAAACGGTGTTCAGTCTTTGAGAGTTTGGGATTTTGCTTCTCCTTGTGTTACAAGCTGAAGACTGCTCTGATGGTGCAGTCGCACTCCTTCCCCTTTATATACTTTTTTTCAGCAAACCAGGAAGTGATCTTACCACTCGATAAATCACCTTTAATAGAGTCAAATCTCTTTGTGCAACGCTTAAAGTGACTTCAAGTGGGTTGTTTGTTATTGAAAGCGGGTCAAGAAAAATCCACTGCGCTTTTCTTAAGAACCGGGGGACGCGATATCCCGCCGTAAACCAAGTCAATTGGCTTGATATAATTGACTGTAACTCCCGATTATCTAATTGACATTCTTCTCTGAAAACAAATAACAGTTATTCAAGAGTGAGGCGGAATGGGATGAAGCTAAGAAAAGGGAAAATTATTTACGAATGCGTTTCGCCAATCGTTGCGCTTTTCTTTGGGGTCTTTATGAGGGCTGTAAAAACGCCCACAGGCATGAGAGCTAATTCCATTGACATCCTGCCCAACAGGTTGGCCCATTTGAAAGCTCAAGAATTGCTGCTTCCTATCTGACGATAAAGGCACAATGTTGTACAGGAAATTAAACCCTTAAAAAAGGCGAACAATGGAAAACGTTTCTAAGGAAAGTCGTTTAGGGTTCTACCATGCTTTCGGCTTCAATTCACCACTCCATTTTTAGAGTGCACTTCAGTTTTTCGTTCGCGCAATTTGATTATGATCAATAAAACACTGATAGCATGTTATTTATAAGCTTTTACGGCAATTAGGAGTACACACATTTGCCCTACTGAAAAGAACGCCATCCCATTCCCAGGTTATTGATACTTTCTTCCCTCTTAATAACCCATGCGATTTAAAGGATGTTGTCCAAAAACCTAGAAAGCCGCCAAGCAATATATATGACTTTAACCACGCGCACATGTATATTAATATATTGCAATACAAATATATTGAACGCGAACAACTCATCAATCTCAATATACATATTGAACTGAAGTCAAAGTTTTTAACTCTCTATTGGTACTTTAAATAGCACTTTACGGACAAAATCGTAAAATGAATTTCAGTTCTTAAAAAAATATTATTGCTGTTAATAAAGAATCGCTAATTATAATTCCACATCCACAGTTCTAAATTTATTTATCCTCTTGAATTTAGCAGGCTACACTTATACCCAATAGAATAAAAAAGGCGAATTATGTCGAAATCCATTGCTATCGGTCTAATTTTAAATGGTCTTTAAAGCTAAGGAGGTTTTAGTATAACGTTTTTAGCGCCAGATCACCGTTTCTTTATTTACAAAGACTTAACGCTATACTCCACTGGTGTTGCACTGTTGGACATCCATGTACAGATAGTAATTTGCGCATATAACTAATAACCCCTTCATGTTCACACCTAGTAAAATTAAATGTGGAAAAATCCTCATGTCTGAAAAATCACCAAAGAATTCTTTAAGATCCTTAGGGATTTGCCATCTTGGGTCGTTTTCTAAGAGTTGTTCTTTTTTCGTTGCTTTCTGTCTTCGCCGGCGAGAAGAGAGTCCTCTAGAAGTCATATTGACTTGATAAATTATATTACTACAACAAAACAATATTTGTTTTTTTAAATACGAATTTCGAACGAATAAATGTAAGCTTACATTTATATATATTTTTTGTCGTGGTTTACATGGTCTTTAGAGCTTTTCAAGACAGTACACTTGTTTGATGAAAAATAACTCAACTTATGGGTTTGTGAGTATATATTATAAAATGCTAAATTTTTTTTTTCTTTCATAAAAATGCTGAATACAAATAGCCAATTTTTCTGACAAAAAAACGGTAAAGTTATAATCCAATCCTACAGAAACGCGAAACGGTGAATAAGATAAGATAAGACAAGATAGTAGGGTTATAAATAAGTTCAGTTGAGTGAGATATCATTACGAAACTGATGGGCAATTACAGATAAGATTATTGGATAAACAACCATTATGTATGTATTTTTCTTCTTGTTTGACCATGTTTTATAAACTTATTTTTGTTATGATAGCCAGCTTAGCCTTTTTAAAACAACTATAAAAACTCTGCACTTTATTGTCATACCTCATTCTGAAGAAGACTACCACAGCGTAGACGAAACGTCAAAAATATTTTCAACACACCGTGCTTCAAACCGAAAAAAACCTCATGTATAATCTATATGGAACACGAAAGCCTCAAGACTACCATTATTTTTGTTTTGTTTTATTTCTTATTGCGTTCTGCATATACTTTGTTTTTACCGCGTTTTATAAAATTATAGTTACCTCCGTTATTGATTTTGCGCGTTTTTTTTTTTTCTCCGTGTCCAAAACAAATATCGCCTATTCACCACTGTGATTGTGCTTTCGCCGACTTTTCATTGCTTTTTTCCCTTCTTGTTTTGGTTGTTTCTCTTTACAACTGCCGACTTACTTAAATTCACGCGTGCCGTTTGTCACTGATATCGACGACGTTTTAATGCCTTTGATTCCCTCGTGGCTGATTGTGTATTTGCCTAAGTACTTGATCATAGTAATACTATATCAAAGAGGAATTCATCGATCTATTCAAATATATGTTAAAGGAAAGCAAAGCATCAAGCAATTTAATAAAATGTACATATCCGTTCGGCAAGAAATGAAAGACAAATTCTAGACGCTATTGAGTCGATTCATTYATTCTCATTACTCTATTAATGCGAGAAGAATTTCTTTTCATTTGGTATTAATTATCGTTATCGCCGATGTAAAAATGAGAAAACGAAATCAACGAAAAAAATGACAAAAATAGAACAATTATGTTCACACTGAGTTGCTTCTGTAAATCTTTTCTAGCTAATAAAATAAAAGGTATTAGTAGATAGTATCAACAAAATTCTACTCTTAGAATAGAAAAGTTCTAGSTATAGTAAGCTAAATCCTCACTCCATACTATGTCCACGCATACTCTACCTTCAATTACGTAACTACGTGCGTAGTAACCTCGGCAAAAGACTAAAAATTACTTATTTTAAGATTCCAATTCCAAAAATAGTTACTCTAGTTAATTCATGGTACGTTGAAAAACCTTTTGATGTTAGAGTTCATCCGTAAAAGTAGTCTTTATCAATTGCTGTGATAATTATAGTGTCATAATAAGCATGATAAATGATGAGGATATATGAATTGTATGTTTGGACACTTTATGGCATAGTACTAATTTATACGACTTATAATTTGTGGCTATATCAATTTTGCGCATTTTAACTTGGTTTTATTTTCTCAGTTTCCTTTTCCACTTTAAGATTCATAGTTTTACGCTTTTTTTTTTTTTTTTTTCCAAAGAATTATTTTTTATTTTTACAGTTATTTTTTTAAGAAGAATTTTTAAAAATCTTCTTAAAAAAATAGGATACCCCGTATTTCCTTTCTTCATCCACTTTCAATCTTTTTATCTCATCATCACCATGAAAATTTTCCATTAATAAATCATTGCTCATTTTTACGTTGAGAATCAAATGTCCCCCTATTCTATTTTCACTATACTTGTATATGCTTCAAACACGTCAAATAGTCACCATCAATTCTAAGTTTATTAATCGTGACTGACATTGTTTTGAGAGTTCTTTATTCTTACTCCGCTGATCCCAACCTCCACTTCTCTACTCGAGGGGGATACAAGCAATCTACTTGACAGACTTGCCAAAGTCTAGTAACGATAAAGATAAATGACTACTATGAATGAAATTCATGAAATGTCAAATTCACGCCCGCTTCAATATGCTAGCTTCTAGAGGTCGCCCCGCGACATTATGAACTCCACAAATGCTAAAAAAATAGCCTGTTGGCACAAGAGTTACGCCTACATAAACAAGTTCAAATAAACAAATAATTGTGTTCGATACGAGACTGTAACTACTGCGTTTTCACAATCATTGAATTTCTTTGTCTTGTCTTCTTTTCGGTGCTAATTTTGCTTTTTCATTTTTATTTCACTCTATTTGAACGTTATATTTTTTGCGTAAAAGACTACTCCACTCTATATTTTTTCTTAATTACTCCTTTTTTTACTTTATTTCTCTGTGTTTTTTCTTTCTTTCCATCCTTCATTCCTTCTTTCTCTTTCTATATCATATTTCTATATCTTTTATTTTCTTTAATTTCGCTTCTTTTTCTCTCTTGTTTCGTTCTTCTCGTTTTTCATTTTCATTTTCGAAACTCTCTTTTTCCCTAAATTCTATTCTAATAACCATCTCAATACTTATTCCTAAGTATTCTTTGATATCATCTGCGCCGTTTCTKTTATTATATCCTAATACGTTTTATCCTATCTTAATTTTCTTTCGGAAAGCAACTTCCAGATCACAATATATTTTCAATGTCTTTTTGTTTTGTTTTTCAAAAACGCGCGACAAGTTTCTGGTTATGTCTTCAATTAGATCCCACTTAACATCTGTTTTCCTTGTCATTTCGTATTTGATCGATTGAGGTTGTAGTTCATAAAGCCACGGGTCTCATTTTTCTTCAGTTTTCACCTACATTCATTGAAAGTGGCTTCTGTCGGATCGACGGGAATTTGTACAATTAACACTTGTTGCCATTTCCGTTGAGTTTACTTCAGACATCGTAATTGGCTTACTCTTCAAAGGTGATGGAAAATAATTACTCTTCTAAGAACATCATTTGATTCTACAAAAAAAAATTGGATTTCGGTGTTTTCGACTACTTGATATATAACATTCTATTGGAGAACTGAGGGTAATTCCGGCTTGAAAAGTGGCATTTGAGGGTCCGGTAATATTCATAGGGAATTAAGTGAAAAGAAAAATGAAAGAAAATGAACAAAAAGAAAAATAGGTGAATGAGTGAATGAAGAGAATGGAAAGCCACTATTATTAGTAAACTAATGTTAACTCCATAGCATGCTAAGTGTTTCTAGTTAGTTCGTTGGAGGAATAAATTTACCAGCTTCATCCAATTTATTTCTTAAAACAATTTTTATGTCAGTCTAACTCAAATACGGAACCTGTTTTCGGGCACCCTGTGGTGATGGGAATTCACTTCATATCCTCCTATGCCACACAGAGTGT